TACCTCGTCAATCCAAGCGACAAGCGTCGCGTATATTCTGTGACGAAAAAAAAACAAGTCCGTCGGGAGTATATAAGAGTATATTAATATGCAAATTACGGAGCATCCTATCCCGGCTGTCGACTAATGGAAAAAATAGGTTCTGCCGAAATAGCTTGAAGAGTAAGCGTTGTGAAAGCCACAAATTTGCTTTGAGAACGCTTACTCTTCAAATATGATAAAGGCAAGGCAATCATTGAAGTAGTTCTACATTGTTTCTAACAAATCAACATCTTCATTTGAATCCCATTGAAAATCTGTCAAAGTTTGAAGGAAATTATTTATGAAAAGGTTCTCAGAAATATTGAACTTAAAGCTGGTTTCCTGAAACAGGAGACAAAATTTCTGTGAAAAGTCTTTTCTTTTTAACTTCATATTCCCAAAGCCTTGAAGTGTACTAAAGAGTTTTCATGTTTAATTTTTTTATTCCACTGTATGTGAAGATATAGGAAAATATAGATGTCTCAATCATCCATTCTGTATAAATGGATGCACTTATAGCATCATAAATTAATAAATTTGTTGCATATTTATAAACTAAACTTCTTTGTTATTTTGTTTTAACCAATATTTGTAGACACTTGTACTGTCAGCTGTTTATTGAGTTTTTGATTTTTAGTGGGTGTGGAGTGATTAATGTTTATTATTTATAAACACTTTCTCCTTGTTCACTTTGTGACTAAGAAAACTCAAAATAAGAGAAATCAATCATTATTAATTTGAAGGTTTTGAATACAAAAATGAAACCTATTCTGGTGATCTCTTCTATCCTTGACTTTTATGGATAAATCAATGTGTGCAGGTTATTGTTGGTCTTTAACTAGTAATGTGCAAAACTTGCTGATGATAGACTATTTGAACAATGATACATAGAATAATACACAAATTCCACATTAAACTGACTTCTCTTTTAACTCTTCCTTTTCCCATAAAGAGGGATGTTATTTTTCTTCAGATAATTTCATAAGATGAAAATATCTTGTAGAATTTTTTAATAGTAGGAAACAAATACATTGTTAAGGATGTTTTGATAAGGAAACAAATACATTGTTAAGGATGCAAAAATAAAAGAAAAATTGCTTGTGGCAATAGTTTACTTATTTAGAATTTTAATCCTTTGTTTTCTAATATGCCATTTCCTTTGACAAGTAAAAAGTATTTTTAATATATAACCTTTTTGCAGTATGGCAATCATTAAACAGTAGCAATTAAAGATGTTTAAATATTATTACTATTCTGAAAACATGTAATATTTGTTTTTAATGTAGCTTGAGTTACTTTTTCTAATACAGTAAATACTATACAAGGATTGATTTTTAATTGTAATGATCTTAATAGTTATACTATAGACATTTTTTCTCTTAAAATAATGTTATATTATGAAAATACCCCCTCTGTCTCATAATGTTATATATGCATACACATTTCCTATACTAAATGTAATAACTATTATAAGACAGAGGGGGTATTTTGATATAAGGATTCAGTACTATTGAGATATGGAAATATTGTTACTGAAAAAAATTTGTTGGTGTTAGTTTCTGAGAGTTATAGGCAAGAAAACCTGTTCGTTGTTTTTGTACTCTCATAAAAGAAGTGCTTCTATTACCTATACCAATACTTTTACTTTTACTATTTGGGGAATTTTATTTGTTTAACTATTCTTTAATTGCTTTCATTTTATAATATATATAAAATATTAAATTTTAATATTTAATTTATTATTAAAGTTAAGAGTTAACTTTTTAATAGCTTTACAACTTGTACTGTTTTTATGTTTTACTATGGGTATTTATGCTTTTGATACATTTTTTAAAAAATATAAAGTTTATATGTAATGAATGACTGTTTACATCATTGCTGACAATTGTGAACACTGGGTGTTATTTATTTATTTATGGTTATTGGCAAAAATGTTCTCTTCTATTGATGCTTTATTTTTGAAAGTATTGATATTAAAAATCAACTGTTTTATCTTGATACTGATATTTTACTCATTGTTTCTAAATAGATGAATACATATTTGTTACTAATGCAGGAAGTTTAGTTAACTTGTTTTCTGTTCAATTATAGGTCATCAATAATAAATACATTTTTTGCTCTACTCAGTCTGTCACCTGACTCAGTCTGTCACCTGAGCTTAACAATTTATTTTTTTAATAGAAAATTGCCAAGGTAAAAATTTCCAATCTTGATATTTTTTTTTGTTTCAGTTCAAAATATTTAACAAATATTTTTTTATAAACTCCCTTTCTTTAAACATATTTTATGAAATTATAAAAGTTAATATATTTTAGTAATTAGTTTTTGTTCAGCTTAGTACAAAAATTACTTTACATGGCATTTACAATTTTCTATTATAAAATAAAATATTTAATAATTATTGATAATTTTCATATTAGTAACTTTTTAACTAATCTGTCTTGAATTAATATAATTTTAACTTAGGGAAAAGATTTGTCAGCAGTTTTAAGTAAACTTAATTTTTAGCATTTATATTTTTTGTTAATATAGAAAATAAATTAACTTAAATAATGGCATTTTGTAACCAGAATATTTATTATAATGAAACATTGAGAATTGCTCATTACTTAAATGTTATTTGTTTTTTGTTAAGATTAAATCAATCTCACTTGGTATTATTTTCAGAAATGAAAACAAATGAACTCAAATAAAATAATTTTTAAAGTTTCAAAACTCATAATTATTTCTGATTTAATCTATAATTTTTATTAACACCTTGAATGCCAACATTTATTTGTATGTTAAAAATAGAACAATAGAGACTAAATAGTTTCTAAAGGACAAAATGAAGAGAAGCTATAAGTTTCAAAAGGTCATGGGTATTATGCAATTAACGTTGGTGCTAAGCATATTAAAAACTTAATTTGAAAAACTCTGAACTCTGATTGATATTTCATTGAAGTTGGTAAGACTTTTTCCTTTAGATTTTTTTTGAGAGAGTGAGTCTTAAAGCAGAGCAATAAACTATAGTCTCTGTTGCCCAAATCATATAAATATCAATTGAGTGATAAAAATATTTGAATTTCTTTCTACTAGTATTATATATTCCTAACAAGAAATTTCTTTTTGTTTACAATTAATCTACCGTGATAAAAGTTTTAGCAAGAACCAGTTGATCTAGAGGGACTTTTAATTGGTCATAATATTTTTTCTTATACCAGATTATAAAATAGTCATTCCAGATTTTTTCTTGTACCAAATTATAAAATAGTCACATTATGCTGGTGATCATGCTGTTCTGGTTAATATGTATTGTATCACTTATTGGATATTTATTTTCAATAGAATTGAAATTTTGTTATCAACTGCAGCATGTTTTGATGTTACAGAAATGCTATCTATAATTCAGTTTGTTTTATAGTTTAACAAGCATCACTAATCAAATGACAACTCATAGCTTTATCTGCTGATCTATCATTTGCAAATATTTTATTAAACTAACATTTGTAATCTCACAGTTTAAAGAATGAATGTTCCAGCTTATTTCAAGTATGCTTTAAAATTTTCTTCTAATGTTTTTGTATTAGGTTTTTCTTTCATATATAATCATATTAAAGTTATATAAAACATAGGGAGAAATAAGGCAATTGATTTTCTACTTGATGTACTCTTGAGCCTTTCTATGCTGCGAAGATATTTGATACTGATTTTTTGACTATGCTTGTCAGTTAAATTTTTTTTCTATTGAAAGCCTTTTTTTTTTGTTTAATGCAACTTTACATTCATACAAAAGATATATAAGTGACAAAATACATTTTGATCAAATATATGCTTCTATATTTTGCTAAACCTATCTTAGTATGATATAAAGACCCTAAACTCAGTGGTCTGTAAGATTAGCTTGCTAACCCCATGTTAAAGCACTCTCAAATATATTTGGAGATAGGACAGAAAATGACTAGTTATGTAGAAAAATAGTAATATTAATTAACTACTGAATTTATTTACCTTTTTTAATATAAAAGTATACTATTTGGAAAGGAAAATTGACTACTTGATTATTTACTAATTTATCTACCATCAAATGAAAACAAATTTTGTTAAGTCCTTACTATCATTAGGTTCAGATGTGAGTCTTACAATATATAAATATGGATAAAAAATGATAGGATTATTTATACCCAGCATTGGTGTGCTCTGCCTAACTTTGTATTTGCAAGTTAATTTTAGCATGCTGTTCATGCAGCTCAATGCTAGTTTAGTGGGTATATCACTTGCCTGGTTACCTCTAGGCTGAATGTTCAAGTCAGGGCAGGATTGACTTTGTATATCTGTTTGCTTTATAATAGTAAAAAATTAATACAAATGCACATAGTATATTATATAGATGGGTTTTTAAAACTTAATAATACTAGTACAACAGGTGTATTTGTAACAGTAATCACTAGAATTTTTTTTGTAAACATTTGACAGTTTTTGATTCTCACTGATTACTCAGCCAAATATTATTTTGAGATTCTTTGTAATGGAAGCCTGTTTTAAATGTTTCAGAAGATAGTCTATATTGAAATGGAACTTACCAGCATACATAGTGTGTATTGTGGAGACAGATTTAATCAGCTTAAATCTTTTTGTTCTCCAGATTTGATTGTCAAAAAGTGAAAGCACGTATATGCCCTTAATATTAGAATAATAAAAAGAAATTGCTAATTTTTGATAATATATATCCAATTGTTTTTTTTTTTTTTTAAATCATTTATTTCTGTGCTTGGAGATTGAAGACTTTGATTATTTCACTGGAGAATGACAAAATCTCTCATGATTTCTTTAGTAACTTTATTTGGGGTTTTATCTTGTTTTATATTTAAAGATGCCGTCAACCCAATTTTACTTTGGTGTTTATATAAATTTCCACTTTAAATTACTTGACTATTTGTTATCTCTAATACAGAAAATACATGAGATGCTTAGTGATCTGTATTTTGATTCTTTTATAGATTTTGATACAGATGAAGAAACTGATAAACTGTTACAGAAACAGTATCAGACTGACCAACATGTTGACATTCCAGAGCTTAGTAAACCTCCAATTAACCTTGGGGCACAGGTAAGTTGTAGCATTGGATGCTTTTTTTGTATTTAACAGATAAATTAAAAGACAATAATTCTTCAGTTTGGTTTTTATTTTTGGTTAATGTTTGAATGATAATTGTGCAGTGAAAGATTTATTTTTAAGAATTGATTATTTCTTTTGATGTCTTAGAAAACCGCATCAAATAAGTTTGTTTGTGGTAATATTTGCATTATTTTTATCAAAGTATTTTATTTATATGTGATAATCTATGGTAACTCAACTTATTGCATGAATTATTTTTAAAAATACACTTGTTTTCTTCTATAAAGAAATATAATATTTGCTGACATTTTAGTTTTAGTTCATGTTGGAATATCATGGTGTTTAAGATATAAGTATATTTGGGATAATAATAATTTAAATGTTACCATGAATAGAGAAAAGACTTTTAAACCATAGCTGATTTTTTTTCTTTTTTAAGAATAAGATTTCTGCAAAACATTTACAGTCAAATAGATTAATACAAAAGTTTGGCTAAAAGTTTTTGTCAAAAAAAAATTAAAAATCAAGTAATTTTTATTTATTTATTTATTTATTTATTTATTTCAATAATTTCAACCCAAGCAAGGAAATAAAGCCACTAAGATGCAAGGGGTTACTGAATGGGAAAATATGAAATGAATGAAAATTAAGATGGCTCATTGTGATCATACTTAGAGATTTACATTGTACAAAATTGTTTAATAATGTGAAATAGACATATAAATGCAATGAAAATCTTTTTCCTAGTTGACTTTCATATATAAAATACTACTTCTAGTAATCTTTATGCATCAAAGCATTTGATCAAATCGACAATATATGATTAAATTTTCACAAGTTTAGGAAAAGAAATAAGGTGGACTTTCAAGCAAAAATTCACTCCTCTTCCAGAAGTTTTTGAAGCTAAAATAAGAATTACTCATATTAAGAATTTATTTGATATGTTTACATAAAAAATTTAAGTGAACAGTTTTAATTTTTTCATTAAAATCTGTTACTTGTTCGTTTGATTAACTATTAAAAACCCAGTTTATCATTTTGTTTTAGGCAAATTCCAAGGATTCAAGTTATTGTTTATGTATATAATTTTTACAATGTAAACATTCAAAGACTAAAATGTTTTGTTAAGGAGTTAATTTCTGAACAAAAAGTAGATGTGCAAATGAGAGAGTAGTATTAAGCCTTGAAAGTAGAATTAGACTTGATTAAAATTAAACTTCCCTTGTATTTATAGGTAATGGATGAATACAATAAGCGCTCAGAAAATTTAATCACTTCTGAACGTGATTCAATTTTTATATAAAGACATTTGAACGTTTGTTCAAATTAACTTTACTTTATGATATTATAAATTTATAAAGATTTACCCACATTACTTATCCACATCCAGTTTTTGTTTGTTTTTGTAGGTAGTTTCTCTTACAGAAACTTAATGCTGTCATTGATTCCTAAATTATTTTCATACTGTAGTGATTGTAATGTTTACTTTGAATTGAAAGTCAACATTACAATACCAACTGTTATATTTTTGAGCAACATCAAATTAAGACATTGTTTTAATAAAGGCAACTGGAACTGAATGTTAGTTTTTCATCCATTTTCTTGGCTTACTAATTGTTCTTTAAGAATAACTGAAGTTTTTAATGAAATTACCTTAAATGGATACTGATTCAGTGTTGCTAATATAACAAAAATATTCTTTAATTCTGATGTTAGTTATATTCTCTTGCCATAAACTAGTAAATTTTTAATTATAAAAATATGGGAAAAATATAACTTGTTAAATTTAATGTTGTGGTTATTCAGCAGTGACCTTATACTGAACAGTTAAGATAACAGAAAATATCAAAAGATCTTTTAAACAAAGATCTACATATTTTCAGCCTTTATTTCAAATGTAATTTCTAAATTTTAGATCTGCCTTTATTATTGTTTAATCTTTGAGAATTTAATAATTTTAATGGAAGAAAAACATGAGTAGCTAATTGGTTTTTTGTTGTTTTTTTGTTTTTTTTTAAATATCTAAATTTTATAACTTATATGTTTGGTTGGTTTGCATACTCTGATTAGAGAATAAAAAATGAAATATCTTTTTAAATTTTTTCTCTATGAAAAATTTAATTATATTTCTAAGTCAAAATTTTTATTTCCTCTAAAAAAAAAATATCTGTATAATATTTATTCCTATATTTTAGAACACACTTCATGTATTACGCCTTAGTTTTTGTATCTTTTTAATTAAAAAAAATAATTTTCCCTTTCTAACCTTTTACTTTTAATTACATTAAAATTTAGTTAGGCTTACAAACATAGAAGTTGATTTGGGAATCACTATCTTGATATTGTATTTCTTGTGTTAAAAATTATCAAGGCAAACAATTACTTTTTTCATTAGGCATTGGTTTTTTTCTATTTGATGTGGAAAAATCCTCTATACATGCATGCACACACACAGAATAAAGATTTGTCAACTGCCAATGTTTGTGCATTTTGATAATAGAAAAAACACATCATTTATAAACAAATTTGTAACAATTTTTTTTAACTTATTGATTTTAATTTGATTATACTGATTATTTCATAAATCATTGAAGAACATTGAAACAGCCAAAATATATTGAATTTTAATAGGAAATTGGTTTATTTGAAAATTTTCATAGAATTTATATTTTCCTTTTGAAAAATGTGTTTTGTTCTTCCTTTTGATATAAGAAATATAAGGATTTTGTTAAAAACTGCAAATGGATTTTGGTAGAAATATGAGCATGTGAAACTTAAATGTATTTTTATTTTAACTTGTCAGTAATCTTTATGTAATAAAGGAAGATAGCAGTTGTCAACTCTTTGCTTTTGGATAAATTAGCTATTAATGTATTTTACATTTTAAAGTTTTGACTTATTTAGTAATTTTGGAAGCTTAGCATCTATAACTTTGAAAATACATCAAGATATTATAAGGGGAAAGATTTATTTATAAGCTGCACTCTTATAAAAAAAAATACCTGTAAAATTTAATACATTTGTCTCTATCAATGAAGTAGAATTATTTAATTTTGTAATAAAACATAAAATGATTTATCTTTTTTTTTCTTTACTAGCCGGTGAAGAAAAAAACGGTGAGAACTGGGCAATACATGCAATCCTTTCTTTCCTTCCTTTCTTTCTATTTTATGTTTGTACTTGTCCATATATCTGCTAACTGGCAGACTATTCCCTCCTCTTTTGTCTGTAACTCTTTGCTTGGTTGACCATTGATCACCACAGTTTTAAAACTATCCCAAACCATTAGTACTTACGAATTGTATAAAACTTAAATAACAATAAACTTTGAATTCTAAATGCTTAAAGTCATAATGTTACAATGATTAAATGCTTGATAGCAGGTGTGTGTGTTTGTAGCTCATTGTCAATAACTTGATATTGAGTATTATGGATTTATGATTAGCTTCTAAATAATTTAATGAAATTTATAGCTTTTTGATTTATTAAACAAGAATTAAAATGATTATTATCAATTTAAGACAGAGTACAAAAAATTTTACTTTAGAATTTGTTTTTATACTTGTCAAATTTGCAGTACCCAAATAGTACAAATTTATAGTAGCTAAAAATTGGTTAACTTTTTAATTAATACAAAATATTTTTTGTGCTTCTGAGGAATTGAAAAAGTTTTTTCCAATAAAAAAATGACTTCTTTTTATTCCTTTCCTCTCTTTCTCCAGCATGTTTGTGTCCTCTTTCATCAGCAATAGAATGCTCATACCTTCTTTTGAATAATATCAAAGTATATTATTTTCTGTATATGTGTCACCAATCTGAAAGGTTCATTTTTCATCTTTAGTTTCTAATATTTTATCCCAACTTTCACCATACATTGTATAGTTTTTGATGTTTATGTTGTCTAATCTATTTGTTTATTTGTGTATATGTCTGCATGTATAAGTGAATAATGTTTATTGAAAGAAGTGTAATAAGGTTTATGATATTACTCTCCTCCTTGAATCTATCAAAATTTAAGGGGGAATGGTATTTCATTAATATGACTGTATTTTGCAACATATAGGATGCACCCTAAATTTAACATGAAATATATTGATAAAATATACCATATATATTCATTCTAATGTTACCTGGATAATTAAACCAGTGTAATTTATAGATCTCAAGCTTGATTTTGAGGATCAGATTTTTCTTGCGGGTGGGGGTGATGAAATAAAGTGTCTTATATGCTGCAAAATATGTTAAGTTTTCTTTTATCATATAGCTTTAACAAAAATAGTAATTTATTTATGAAAATAAATATTTTTTCAGTTTCAATGTTTTAAACATATATTGTGACACAATGTATTTGATAAATAATTGTGTTTACATAGTTATTTTGTTTAATATAGTCCAAAAAAAAAAAGGAACCTTTGTATTTTGAAAAGGTATCCTAGAGAAAAAAATTTTACATTATTTTGTATATTTGGCTTAGTAACTTAGCATTGATTAGATAGCTGAGAATCTTAGGTTCATCACAAGTATTAAGTTAAACAGGCTTTTAATAATGTAAATAGTTTTTAATTGAAAAGTGAGTGTAGCAAATATAAAATCTGTAATCATAAAATTATCTGGAATTATTGTTTAAAAACTTTGAATTTTTGTCTCGGAATTTATTGGTAGGACATGTTTATATGGCCTAAAGTATAAAGTTGGGGGTTGGTGAGATTTGTTACTAACGTTTCTAATCAGGAGTTGAGATTTTCTGATTTTATATATATACATTTATTCTTTTTGAAAAGTCTAAGTTAAAAAAGAAAAGTGGAATTAATATTGTTCATATTTCTGTTATTTATTGTCTGGTTTGCATGTATATCAGTGATTAATGTTGTTAATTCCTAACCCTCTGAGCATTAATAATTACTATTTCCTTACTTGATTATTTCCCTCTTTATTTTTTCTTGCCGAACAATTTCCCAAAGTAATTGCTAACTTTGATGTTTTTTAATATATTGACTTTTGTAATTCATTTTTAAACATTTGTCCCAATTTAACACTGTAAATTTAAAATTTTATTCAAAATAATGAGTTTATTTTCAATTATGCATATAAAAAATTGAATCTTTGAGATGTTGAGAAAAATTAAGTAATTATAAACCTCTTAATTTTAATACTTATGATTATAGTAAATCATTGAATCTAAATACAATTAAATTTTTTGTAAGGTTTTTGAAAAGCATTTGAATTATAACCAATGTTGAATGAAAGAGAAACAAGACGATAAAAATAAACAAACAGAAAACATAAAATGTAACTTTTAAAATTGGATTATGGTTTATAATAATGCTTTCAGGCATGAATATATGATTACTAAACAAAAATAAATTGCACTAATATCAGCTGGTAGTTGATAATTTAAACTTTGGAGTTTAATAAGTTGTAAAAATATTATGGTAGCAAATCTTTAAACAAATGCTAAACAAATTTGAAACCATTATTAAGAGGTCTTTAAAAGAAATCTTGAATCCTTATAAATCTTTTGTTTCTTCAACCAAATTTAATTTTGAATTTTGGTGACTCTGTTTTCTATATATTTTTATAAAAGGGGTTAATTACTACTTTGGAGCATTAAACATTTCTGATAAATCTAGTACAGTGCATAGTTTTTTTTTATCTTAGAAAGAAAACACAAAAATTTGAAATGGTTAATGATTTCTAGATTTTTGAGTTAATTTTAATAATTTGACTAATAAAGGTATCAGAATATATTTTGTCTTTAGTAAATTTTTTTTTTTATTTACTTGGAAAAAAGTAGAGCAGGATAGCACAAACTAGATTTTTATAATTTATTTAGAACTATCTTGTTTTAAATAAGTTGCATTTATTCATATGCTTACCATATATTGCAGCTTCACAGGTCACTCTTGGTCTCCTAGTGTCAATATTTTTTTGTGTCAGACCTGAGTCTTAAGGGGTGTTGAGTCAAGAGATATTTTCTTATACAACAACTTAAACTTATAATAAAAATTGAAACTGTCTGGTTTTAAAATTTGGTAATTATGAAAGGCAATCTATACATATGCCAATTACAGTAAGGACAGAGAAATCAAAATCAGCACAAAGCAATAATCCTGAAAAGGGAGATTAAAACATTAATGACTAAATTCTGACTTGAATTAATTTAAAATTAGTTTGCTTATAAGGTCAACAGAAACATGTAAACAATAAATATATTTTTTTTCCTTACCATTTGGTACAATGACTGTGTGTAGCAATTTTCAGCTATATACATACACAACTCCTGGAAACCTGCAGCACACTTTTGCTGTGTTTACTTGTTTTGGACATGAGACAGAACCTGGGGAAATACAACTGGTACTGACTAACCTTGTCCCAGGGAAAAAATGAGCCCGTATTTGCTTAGCATGTAAAGCTAAATGCAGTTTAAATGAGGGAGAAAAAGCACTTACTTTTGCCTTAATCCATCCTCCCAGATAATGTAAAAAGAATGAGGGGGACTGGCATCACATTTTTATGCAAAGTGATGCAATGCATTATGGGACATGGACACAATGAATTATGGGATCACATGAAGACTCAAGGGATTATGGGTACATTAACAACTATAAAAGGTCTAAATTTTTCGAGTTGGGGGGAGTTCTTAGACAGCGTTCACGGTTGACGGCTATAGACATTAGCAGTTAGTGTGATTTGGAGACAGAACTCAAGAAATGACTCAAGTTTGAAATACCAGCTGGGAGAGCTTGAATTTAGCACAAAGTTAAAATGTTTTCTTCATTGCAGCAAAAAATGACTAATAAATTAAGCTATTTAACAAACAATGAAGATGATTCTTCAAATGGAAAATCCAAGGAAATGACACCGTTTGAACCAGAATTCAGCGGCATAACAACCAATATGCCCAAGATTGAATGGATTGAAAATGTGGAATTGGTCTGCGAACTTTGTGCCATGGACAAGATCGAGCAAGCCTCTTGCAATCATGAACTTAGACTAATATTATAGAAATGTATAGACAACTCAAAGGAATGTATAAATTGCAATATGGGCCCTTATGAACTGCATCTGTAAAGAGACATATTTAATGCGTTAAGACCAATATATGGTTTGATCTTAGACAAAAATCAAAGTGGGATGAATTCCTGGCTGAAATGACATTTAGGCAAACTAGATCATGACAAGGACAGTACAAGAAAAAGAGATGGATGACATGTGCATTTGTGTCAGGACTGTCAAAAATGTTGACAGTAATCAAAGCTTCTTCAGGATGGTATACAATGAATCTAGAACACATTCTGACCGAGCATATAGGCTATTATATGATGAATGGCTCAGCCAAAAAATGGCCAGAAGCAGAAAGATTAATAATTATACAAGACAGGTTCCCCCCTGTAAAACCTGTAGCAATACGAAAGACATGCTATAAGTGCTCTGGACCCAACCATATGGCAAAACTATACACAAGACGTCAGGAGGTGAAACAATGGGCTGAACTGTTAGCTACAATCGGTGTTTCTATGGCATTGGACACATTTCCTCAGAATGCCAGGAAACGCCCAAGGGGAGAAGGCGCAGTGCCAGCCCCTTCTCCCGAGCAAGTAAAAACCAGAAGTTACCCACCGTACAAGTATTTGTAGATGGAGAGTGCACAGCTCTAGTGGATTCAGGATGCTCACAGACACTGGTGAGCAAGACTGTAATGTCGCTGCTGGAAGCAGGAAGAGGTGGGAGTGTTGACTGCCCGGCGGAAGACCCTGAAGTGCCGTGGATACGGTAAAATTAAGTTGGGCGTCGAGCAGATTCAGCTCCTGACTGTTGAGGTTCTGGTCGTGAAAGGGCAGTTGCTAGGATTTGATCTTCTTCTCCGGGATTGATGCAATCAAAGTGCTCGGAGGTGTTTACTTTGACCAAATCAGGCGAAGGCGTTTTGAAACCTGAACACATGTGCCGCCATTGTTATCAACAAGCCTGACTTAGAGTGACGTTTAACCCGAGCACGCAAAAACGTGGACTGCATTGTGGAAGTGGGCGGTGGTTATTCACCTGGCAAGTTGGTCAATAAAGTACAGGAGTACACAGTACCTGGCCACATCCGGGATGCATCGATGAAGAACTAGCACGGTGGCAGCGAGACGGATGGCTACTGCCATATCCTGAAAGAAAGAGCTTGGCCCACCCAAGGATTAATTCCCTTAATGGCGGTCATACAAGAACACAAACAGAAGGTCCGACCGGTACTTGACTATGT